AAAAAAAAAAAAAAAAAAAAAAGTCGTACAGCTTCTATTTTCAACTTTTCATGCCCGGTTAGAGAAAGCAAGGAAAAGGGGTATTAGCTAAAATTACCCTTAAGTGCTTTATCCAATTGGCCTCCTCCCATTCATCATACCTTACCCAAAAAATCAATTTAATCACACTACACCCAGAAGGCAGGTATGAATCCATAAAAAACCTCAGAGAGAAGCAAGGCATTGTCCTAAAGTTCTTTTCAAGGATGAGCAGAACAAATGTTTACAATGTTGTCATCTCTGGGTGTTAAGATTTGGGGACTTTTGTCAAGAGACAGTGTTTTGCTATATTGCCCAGGTTGGCCTCAAACTCCTGGGCTCAAGTGATCCTCTCACCTTAGCCTCTAGGACAGCTAGGGCTACAAGCAAATTCCACTGTGCCCAACTTAGATTCTAAGAGGTGTTTATTTCTTTGCATTCTTCTGTGTTTCATAAACTTCACACAATACATACTCCATTTTTTTTTTTTTTTGAGACAAGAGTCTTATTTTGTTGCCCTCGGTAGAGTGCCGTGATGTTATAGCTCATAGCAACCTCAAACTCGGGCTCAAGTGATTTTCTTGCCTCAGTCTCCCAAGTAGCTGGGACTACAGGCCCCTGCCACAACCCCCAGCTATTTTAGAGACAGGTCTTAATCTGGCTCAGGCAGGTCTTGAACCTGTGAGTTCAGGCAATCCACCTGCCTCAGCCTCCCAAGTGCTGGGATTACAAGTGTGAGTCACTGCGCCCGGCCTCCATACTCCACTTCTTTCAAAGCTAGATCCCACTGGTAAAAATGATCCCTCCAGCCTCCGCCCCAAATCACTATGTTGACAGCCCTATTTCTACCTCTTGTGGCAACTTGTTTTTACCTTGCATTACAGCTGTATATCTGACTTCCCTTACTATACTGTGAGCATTTTATGGTAGAGCCATACACAGTATCCTGCACTATCTAAGTACTGGATTTGCTAAAGGTTATGAAAAGTTTGTAAAGTAAGCAGAAACAAACCAAGTGTGAGACTGGACACAGTGGCTAGCACCTGTAATCCCTCTTGCCTCCCAAAGAGGGAAGATCATTTGAGGCCAGGAGTTCAATACCCGCCTGGACAACATAGCAAGACCCAATTTCTACAAAAAAAATTTTTTTAATCAGCCAGACATGGTGGTGTGTGCCTATATCCTAGCTACTTGGAAGACTGAGGCAGGAGAATCCCAGGAGCACAGTAAACTGACTGACCACTGCACTCCAGCACAGCAGAGCTAGACCCTGTATTTAAAATAAATAAATATATATATATATATATATACACACTGCCACTCTCAGAAGTTCTCAAATACAATAGCCTAGAGTAATGTCTGCCAGGACCTTCAAGCAAGACCACCCACCTCCTTTGGACTCCTGGTTTCTCTATGTCCCCTCTGGGGATCTCCTAGTCACTCAGATGGAGACAATAATGCCACAGGTCTGGGATTCTACTATCGGCTCAGTCACTTAGAATATGATCATGAGCATTATACAACTCTGTAAACCTCAGTTTTCTCATCTCTAAAATGGGTTTAACAATAGACCTACTTTACAAAACTGTGAGAACCAAGAGGCTGGAATCCTCTTCAAAATAAATTACAAATTTCTTAACTTGGGTTGTTACAGGCCTCCACGAGTTAGCCATTACCTAATTTTCAGATCTTCACTCCTTGAGTCTAACCAAACTGGAGAATACTTCACTTTCTCTGAGTACATTACTTGCTTCTCCACCACTTCCTTGCCATGTGATCAAGACCTTCCATAACCTGAGGAAATTTCTAAACACTGGTCAAAACCTATCCCCTCTAGGGACCTTCGAATTCTTCCTCTTATTCCTCTCCAAGGCCCTATGGGACAAGTGAATTACAAGTTCTTCATAAGCTTCTGGGGAATGCAGGGGAGGAAGCTCACCAGTAAGCCATAGAACCCCTCCCTCCATGTTAAGCAATATCCAAGAGCACTTAACAACTTCGTTTTAAGTCGTTTGATTTTACATCATCGAAAACAAATCTGGGTAAAAGAATTTGAGGAAATTCGCTGAAATCCAATCACCATGGTAGTAAAAGATCCAGCCTCGCAGCCCGGGCTTCCCGCTCACGTCGCGATGAGCCCTCTGTTAAGGGAAGCTCGGAAACTCTTGCCCGGAAACTTTCCGGGAAAGGCTAGTCATCACTTGAGGCTGAAGGATCTTTTTCTCTTCTAAATCTCTCACCCCTTCGTCCTTAGGAAAAAAATGTTCGCGAGGAAAACAAGGGCAGGATAAGCGATCTGGATAAGCCAGCCTACAAAGTTTTTAAGAAGAGTGCTCTATCGGAACCGAAGCAAACTCCTCGCTGCACCCCGAGCACCTATCGAGTGAGCTGAGGCTGCAGTGCCCAGTGGAAAGAAATGCAGGGGTCGCCGGCCCCAATCTCGTTCCAACCATCGACTGGGCACTCAAGCCCCTTCAGGGAGGACGATCCAACGCGTGCTGTCCGTTCCGGAAACGCCGGCCACGTTAGGAGGCCGACCTCAGCGCCGCCGCCCTGAGGAGAGCCGGCTGTGACCAAACCTGCTGCTTCGGAGTGCTTGCCGGCTCCAGCGCTCCGGGCCGCCTAGGCCCGGTTGCCCCACATGGCGGCGGCCGGCCAGTAGGCCGCAGGCCCGGTATCCCACACTGGGGTGGGTTCAGCTTCTCGCCTCAGTCCTTAGCCCTAGTGCCCGGCTCAGACACTCACCTCGTCCCCGGACATGGCTGCGGTTCGAGTGGGCTCGGCACGGACGAGAACTCGGACGGGTCAGGCTCAAGCCCTGGCAGCAACACTGATACTGCCGATACCTCTCCCACCACCGCACTAGGCTCTTGCATCAGCGAAAGGGAACGACACCCCGCCCTCTCCTCGAAGCGTTGGAAATGCGCCTGCGCAGAGCCCACTAGCGCGCAGGCGCGTAGAAGAGCCAAGCGAGAGCGCTTCGCGTGCCGCGAGTTTCCAGGCGACGCTGAGGCGCCGGGCATGCCGGGATTTGTAGTCCATCCAAAAGAGGCGGGCACTTGCTCTGCGGCCGCCGGGAGACCTGCGCGCTACGCCTATAGTAGAGACAGCCAGAAGGTTGGGTTGCTGGTGACTCCCCTCGCGTTCTGGAGAGTCTTGCTTTGCTTGTTGAGCTGTGTTCTGCAGTTGCTTGTGGAGTGAACTGGAGGCTCTTCCTCCTGGGTTAGAGTAGTGGATAAGACGCTCCGTAATGCAAACCCCTCAGAATTTTAGTTTTCCCACAAGCTTCCGGGGCGTTCCAGTGTGTGAGGAAATTCTAAGCTGGAGCTGAAGACGCGCACCTCACTAAAGGGTTTTACTCCTTGAGAAATTTAACATGTTGGATTTTTACATAACACATAGGAAATCAAAAGTATCCTCCCTGTCTCCTCCAGGGGGTGGACTGAGGAGAGAAAAGGTGTCTCCCTTAGGCGAAACAGCCAGGCAAGAGGCGGTCTGTCTAGGAGCCTCAAAGTACCTGTTTCTGAAGTCTGATCGAATGCTCTGGGGTTCATCCTACAGTTTCCTTTAGACCCAGTAGCGCTACCCTTTGGGAGCTCTCATTTGTTGTCAATGTTTTTCAACTGAAGACCACCAGGAACACTCCTGTGGTTGAACTAAGTTGGGCTTATGGTCTCCTTGCAAGGGGGCTGGGACATCCCGGGGAACAGCGGGACATTTCAGGAAGAGAATGTTGGAACGAATTTACAGGCTCTGGGCTTCTGTTAGATAATTTGGGGGAAGTTTCAAGAAAGCAAACGTTTCCCTCTGGATTGGATGCTATCAGGAGGTAGGGCTAATAGTATGATAGGGTATTTTTAAAATTCTTACATAAAGAGGAAGAACCAATTGAAGTTAAAGCTGTGATTGGTTAATAAAAAGAATAGGGATGAGGGAAATCTGGTCATTTTTTGTGGTCGAGACAATGTTTCTCCTTTTTTGTTTGTATTCAGACTTTATTACAGAGTGGATTTTGTTTTTCTTTTGACTCATCACGGTCACAGAGTGGCCTTGCATGATGTTGATGTCCTGTGGAATGGATTATGTTAAACAGAGCAAGCAGCACGTCCTAGTTGATAGTGCCAGCCTAGCTCCCTGCTGTCAGGGGCTGCATTTCTTCTCACTGTACTCCATATTACTTAATATACAGGTGTCCGTAAAGTTCGTGTTAATCTATTTAGGTTGCACACGAACTTTACGGACACCTGTATGTTTTCTGCTTTACGCCTCGAAACACCTACATACATACCTACAAACACCACAAATATTAGTACTCTGTACTGGATACTAGTCCCTAATTAAACATGACAGGTCCTTCCCTCTAAGGAGATTATCTCGTTAGTGAGAAGGTTACTTTATTAGCTGCTTTTTCCAGACGAGGAAACTGCTTTTGTGGCATTGAATAATTAGTCCAAAGTCAGATTCAGCCAGCAAAATAGGGAAGCTGGCAATCCGAGTCCAGACTATCTGGTGCCAGTTTACCACCTTGAGAATTTGAATCCCTGAGGAGCCTGGATGGCTAACTCCAAACATCACTCATCTTCAGCTTCTGATATCTGCTCATATCTGGGTTATGCAGTAGCAACACTGTTGACAAATTGGGCCAGACATGCTTTGTTCTGTTCATTGTAAGACGTTTAGCAGCATCCCTGGCCTCTGTGTGCTAGATGCCCTTTGTATCCTCCCTCTAGTTGTGACAACCAAAAATGTCTCCAGACATTTTGGAGGAAGGGGTGCAAATCAGTCCTGGTTGAGAACTTCTGGTATACACTATCTGCTCTCAGACCTTGGAGAGGTAACAAATGTTTAGGGTATGCTCCAACTGCATTAAGTGGGGAGGCCTTGAAAAGAATAGAGGGAAATAGTGAACTAAATTTTTTTTTTTTTTTTTTTGAGACAGAGCCTCAAGCTGTCCCCCTGGGTAGAGTGCCGTGGCATTACAGCTCACAGCAACCTCCAACTCCTGGGCTCAAGCGAGTCTCCTGCCTCCGCCTCCCAAGTAGCTGGGACCACAGGCGCCCGCCACAACGCCCGGCCATTTTTTGGTTGCAGCCGTCATTGTTGTTTGGCGGGTCTGGGCTGGGGATTCAAACCCGCCACCTTAGGTGTACGTGGCTGGCGCCTTAGCCAGTTGAGCTATAGGCGCCAAGCCCTAAATTTTTAAAAGAGTATTTAACTGCCAGGTGTGGTGGCTCACACCTGTAATCATAGCACTCTGGGAATATGAGACTAGTGGATTGCTTGAGCTCAGGAGCTTGAGACCAGCTTGAGCAAGAGCGAGACCTCATCTCTACTAAAAAAATACCTAAAAACTACCTGGGCTTAGATGCACATGCCTGTAGATCCAGCTACCTGGGAGGCTGAGGCAGAGGATTGCTCAAGCCCAAGAGACTGAAACTGTGAGGTAGGATGCCATTGTACTCTACCTAGGGCAACAGAGTAAGACTCTGTCTCAAAAAAAAAAAAAAAAAAGATAACATTATCCTAGTCATTATCATTAACTAGGGTAATGAAGATAGGGAAAGGAAAAACAAATGAAGTAGAAAAAAACAGGGAAAAGAGAAATGTTAGAGGTAGAAAAAAAGAACTCATAGGCAATCACCCTTAAATTGCTCAGTTCACACAAACAAAGTCATACTGAGAAAGACTTAATGAAGCCTTTTGTACCTCTCCTGTCTGTTTGGGAAATGTTGGTATGCTTAGCAAATAGTCTCCACCACTTTTATGAAAAGATTTCTTTTCCTTATAGCATAGTACCAGGTATAACATCCCTGAACTGGATACTTACAAGAAGGCTTCCTTCAGAGATTTCAGGCTTCCTCCAAGGTAGTAATTTGTTTTTCAGGAAAAGCCAAAGATTCTTGGGGCATTGACAAAAGTCACAAAGCAATGATAACACTTGTATTTTCATAACTTCTTTCATCTAGAACTCTGCAAAGCATATAGATATTTATTAATTTTCTTCTCATACATGTTAGAGATATCACTGTGATTTTACTGTTTTGTAAATACAGGAGCCAAGTTATGGAGTCCACAAAAAATGGTGAGAAATCTAGAAACAGACTACTGGAATCTACTGGAATCTTCGCTCTGGGCGATTCTTCATGCTTACCATCACCCCAGATCTCCAGCTGCCCAATAGTAAGCTAATGGTGATAGTCCTTCAATTGTATGCTTAATTATATGATTTCATTGGCTTTAAAATATTCCACATTCTTCACTTCATAAGTCCAGGTCTATAGAGACCAGGACTTAAATAATAACAGTACATGAACCAGAACCCAGATGTCATAATTCTTAGTCCAGTTCTTTTCTTACTTGGTAAGTAAGGCCACACATCATCATGGGTGATGTTTAATTCTCATATTTTACAGAAAAATGTAATTAAGATAGAGATTCTAATCCACATAGAAATTCAGACCTGTTCAATTTTTTTGTGTGTTAGTACCTAATTAGATGGGCCCATTTGCCTTTAAGAGTTAGCTTTTGTGATGATAAAAGAAATGTAACTGATCCTCTTTTTAATGAAAACTATCTAGTAACCCTGAATTTATCTTTGGTTTGATATGGTACACAGAAGTTACAGTGAGGCTCCCCCAAAGAAATCTAGCATTGGGATTATCCTTTGAGAATTACACTAGTAGAAATTATTTTTTTTAACCTCTAAATAATACCATCACAAGAATTAATTCTTTTATTTTTTTTTTAGAGACAGAGTCTTGCTTTGTCGCCCTTGGTAGAGTGCTGTGGAGTCACAGCTTACAACAACCTCCAGCTCTTAGGCTTAGGCGATTCTCTTGCCTCAGCCTCCTGGGTAGCTGGGATTACAGGCGCCCTCCACAATGCCCAGCTATTTTTTTGTTGCAGTTTGGTTAGGACTGGGTTCGAACTTGCCACCCTCGGTATATGGGGCTGGCACCCTACTCACTGAGCCACAGGCACCACCCGAATTAATTCTTAAGTGTAATCATATTAGAAATGACTGAAGAGATTGTCTTTAAATGTGGTACCAGGGAATTTAGGAATCACTAATTCTAAGCAAATTGACCAGGAAATTCTCTAATAGCATTATTATTTCAATGATTCCTAAATTCATATTTCCAATCCAAACCTCTCCTCTGAGTTCTAGCTGCACATATCCAATTGTCTGCTTCTCTACATTTGCTTGTCTTACAGAAATCTCAAAGTTACTGGGTCTAAAACAGAACTCTGATTATTTTCTACAGTAAGTCTTCCTCATCTCGTTTAAGGGCACTGCTCTCTACCCAGTTGCTTAATTCAGAAACCCAGGATTTACCAGATTCCTTTCCTTCCTTCACCTTCTTCATCTAATTCATTATTAAGTCTTGCTTATTGGATGTCCATAATAGAGCTCAAATACAACCACTTCTTTCTATCTTCACTGCCACTAACATAGTCCATGAAATTGTCATCTCTTTTCAGATATTATAATATTTTCCTCTTGTCCCTTCATAACACTTACCATAATTTGTTTATTGGACTGTTGTTTACTATGATTTTCTTTATTGTTTTTGTTGTTTTGTCTGTTTTTAAGTGCCACAGTGCCCAGTGTGATTTTCTTAATCTTAATTCACTACTTGAATATATTTAAATTTCCTGAGGATAAGTACAAAAATCTGTTTTGTTAACTCTCTTTTGTTAATTCCCAGCACCTAGCAGAGTGCCTGGCTCATCATAGGGACTTAATAAATATTTGGTAAATATTTGTTGAATTAATGGAGGAAAATCCTGTAGTATCCAAAATTACAGCATAATTGCTTATAGTGAAATATTTTAAGTTGGAGACTTTATTTAATCATATATAGTAAAAATGACTAAAGCTAACATAATTAAAATCAATGGTATTATAATACGTCTGAAAGAGTATTTTAGATTTTTTTTTTTTTTTTTTTTTT